ATAATTGTATTTGTAAGTGTAAATAGTGGTCGTCCAAATCCGAGACCCACAACATTTCATGTCGCGTTGCCTAGAAAACACGCGACAGTGTTAAAGTGGGTCTAGGGTCGGGTGTAAAAACAATGGTTCTATGTAGTTTTCACCTCTTAAAGAGCACAATCTAGTTTTATTATTGCCTTGATAATGACTAACAGAAAGAAGTTCTGGAAGATAGTGGGCTTTGAAATTTGCAGCTGTCAGTTAATCTTTCTTGTATTTTAGAACACTTTCTCAGCTTTCCTAAAATTTGACAATTCTCGAAAGCTTATAACTTATAGCATAATATTAGGCTACACTGTTTCTCAAATAGAGTGGATCACTGCAATGATGAATTGAGAGTCGACATTTGGAACAGTAGAGTTAGCTGTGAGATGATAGCCAGCCAGCAAAGCCGCAAGCACTAGATCAGAAGAGGACATTGTTGGGATCCGCTGCCAAGTAACGACTAGTGAAGACGTAGTAAACATAGAAGACTTGGCGTGTGCTGTCGTGAGAAGTGGATTGCGTGAATTAGTGAGAGCATTATAATTACTTGTAGTTACGATTATAAGTGTTCAGTAAATCCAACTCCCAGTGAATAGTCATATATAAAGTAACCGAACGTCCGCTTCGCGTCAGTTCCAGTGGGTTCGCGGGAACGCCGTTGTAGGAACCACTTGACAGCTTAACTGGGTGTTCTCATTTGCTAGTCATTTTATAAAACTTTGATTTTGATATTGTGGGCTTCTGGGTTGTGGCACTGTATAGTCCAGTAGCAGAGTGTTCGTACCAACCACGCCAGCCCGGCACACATTTGAAATATGGCATGAAAATGTTACTTTCGTGGTTCAGTGATACTCGACATATGAGAAGCGATCAGATAAGAAGTCATCTACCACCTCCATCCACCCAGTCATAGGTATGTTTGCCATTACCATGTAGTTCACGTTGGCCATTTCTGGGCGCGATTAGAAGATACGCGATACAGTATAGGCTTGAGTGAAGGTGGGAGTGCCTGGCATCCAAAACTACCGAAAGTGTCCTGTGTTGCCCAAATGGAAATTGTAACACTTGAGTTGCTTGGTGCTCGCAGGGCAAGCAAGCAACAAGAACGGAGCAGCGAAACGCCATTTCTACTGGAGAATATCAAAGAATTCTTCAAGATTCTGACCAAATTTCTGTTTGGAATTGTTACTAGGAGTACTACCGCAAGTCAAAATCTTTTCCAAATTATGGAAAGCAAAAGTAACGACATCAATCGCTGTTAAAATAAAATGAAGCATGATTTCAAAATTTTGTAACAGAAGCGGAAGAGCTTTGGAAAGCTCTAGTCAGAATATGAATGCTGCTCATAGAAATACTCGTACAGTACTCAGAATATTCATACAGCAGACAGCAAATGACAGTGGATAATAATGATGAAAAGTTTATTTCTGGCTGTACTGTTGAACTGATCGACACAATTAAAAAAGGCCAGTTGACCAATCGAGTCTAGGAAATTCGCAAACAGAAGTTTCGTTTGTTTCTAGAATTCTGAAAATTTAAACACTAGTCTGGAAGTTTTCCAGCTACTGCTCATGAGTCGTGCTTGAAATCAGATGGACGGTACTTTGCTTTTTTTCTTCTGGAAAGTGAGTTTTCGTTTATTTTCTTTCGTCGGAAGAATTTTTGCAAAGTAATATTTCAGATCTCTCACGTAAATTGGAGGACTTGGATTTCGCAAACGATCTATATCTTTTAGCACAACATTTTAAAGATGCGACAGAAAAGTTGGTTGATTTAAATAGAGAAGCCTGGAAGTTTGAATGAAGATTAATCGCGCAAAAACAAAAGCAGTGTGCATACATAATAAAAATACATTTACTCTAGACGGAAAAGAAATAGAACATTTTCTTAAATACCCTTATCTTGATAGCATAGTTACAAAGGAAGGCGGTAGTATGGAAGATATAAGAAATAAAATATCTAAAGCAAATGGAGCTTTTGGTCAAATACAGAAAGTTTGGAAATCAAGTGGTATTACATTAAGAACAAAACTAAGAATTTTCAGCTATGATGTGAAATCAGTTTTATTATATGGATGCGAGACATGCCGAGTCACCCAAGAAATATGTAGACAAGTTTTGTAAATCGATACCTCTGTAGATTAGTATATGGATATGTAATAAATTCTCACAACAGTGAAAACAACACAGCAAGCCATGAACAAACACGGACGATACTAATAATCTCCTTGTCATGATAGACATGCGGCACAAGTTCAGCCCCCTCCAAGAAAGACGATAGGAGAAGTGACACGAACCTGCATGGTTTATAAATTTTAACTTAAACAATAAAGTTTAAAAGCTTTAAAAGTTTTAATACCAGGAAGGCTGCTGTGATTGTAAAAAGTTGAATATTGTGTACATTATGTATTCCAGTCATTATGTGTGTATGTAATTTAGCATTCAGAACACCTATTGTGATAGTGGTTTCCGAATAAGTATTGATGTTCCCTCTGAAGATGATCCATAAGGAACGAAACATGTAAGGGTGCTGAGTTTTCAAGTGGTAAAACTTAAATAGTCACACTGGACGGAGTTGTTTTTATCTTTGAAATTCTCACTAGATGAATTTAAACTTAGATTAAACTATGAGATATGGGAAAACATGTTCAGTACAGAGGATAACAATATAAACATGTTTAATACTTTCGCAAATACATATTGCAAATATTTTATGCTTGCTTTCCGAAAAAGAAAATCAATGAGCACTCTCCCCCTAAACAATGGTTAATCATCGGAATTAAAAATTTCTTGCAAAAGAAAAAAAGAACTGTACCTTCTGACGAAGGTACGTGACAACAATAATCTAAAGCAATGTTATAAATCATATGGTAAGATCCCGACTAAGGTGATTAATGAGGCAGAAAGACTCAGCTGTAATGATAAAATTACCAACTCCACTAATACTATTAAAACTACTTGGAATATTTTTAAAGCGGAGTTAGGTAAAAGCCACCTGAAGGACAAAAACTGAAAAAATAATTCCAAATATTTTTAATTGTTATTTTTCAAACATTGCTGATAATATTACTCAAAAAATTTCTACTCAAGTTACTTCAAATACTGATAATAATAATAACTATAAACATTACCTGAACTTGACAGCTAATGGCCCCTTTCCCAATATAATATTCAATAAAATAACAACTAAAGAAATTGAAAAATTTATCTCTTCTTTACATTCAAAAAATTCTTCTGGATATGAGATTTCGATGAAGACACTAAAAATTAGTGCCCCATACATTGATGAGAAGAACTGTGCAAATTATAGACCAATTTCATTGTTAATTTCATTTTCCAAGGTGTTTGAGAAAAATAATATTTAGAAGATTATTGACACTTTCACGTTTATGACATTCTAGCCAATGAACAATTTGGGTTTCGCCCCAAATTATCCACTGAAACAGCTTCATATAGCCTAATAAATACAGCTTTAGCAGCTATTAACAGTAAAGAAAAAGTAGGTGGAATTCTCTTCGATTTGGAGAAAGCTTTTGATTGCGTAAATCACGAAATACCTTTATATAAACTTGAATGTTATTTCATAACTGACAACGTATAAAATAAAGTAAAGATATTCCTGTAACACGCCGTGGAGGCCCATAGGGTTGTGAGACGTCAAGGCTCCCACATTTTCTAGACCATCGGCTCATAGATGGCGTTAAGGTTGTCAGCCTTACGCGCCGGCCGCCCTTTACCCCCAAGAACATTCTAAGAATATTACTGGTACTCATTTCTGTTAGACGCTGAGTCGACCACAGGGCCATAGTGCGGCTGGAAGGATTAGGTCAATTGAAAAATCCAATGACCTCATCGGGATTCGATCCCGCGACCTTCCGACTTGTAGCATAGTGCCTCAACCAACTACGCTACCGCGTGCCCCTAACTGACAATGTATATATGTTATTAAAATCCTATCTCCAAAACCGATATCAAAGGGTGGTAATTAAAATGGACCCTTTGATAAGAGTGAATCAGATTGGGGTCGGGTCAAACATGGTGTTCCCCAGGGATCTATCCTGGGACCATTACTTTTCCTACTATATCTATAATAAATCTGAACGTTAATGTAAACCCCCAAACATTTTTTTTTTTGCGGATGATACTAGCATAATTGTCAGTAATCAAAACAATACTGTACTAGGAAATAACTTGAAGTCAGTCTTCACTAGTGTGATGAAATATATTAAGGCAAAGTATGTTTATAGGTGGGTAGAAGCCAGACAGATCAACAGTAACATACCTGGCTGCACAAATAGATAACAACAATCCGATATCACAAGAACAGAGTGACTCTTCCCACACTCTGAGCAAATTATACCATTATCCGATCTTGAATAAGTTGCAAGCGATAATTGCCGAAAACTCTTGTTACCATTTCTATAGCGTGTGAGAGGTGTTTGTGTGCATATGAGCGTGATTTGGG